GCCCGCCACAACGCCCGGCTATTTTTTGGTTGCAGCCATCATTGTTGTTTGGCGGGTCCGGGCTGGGGATTCGAACCCGCCACCTTAGGTATACGTGGCTGGCGCCTAGAATACACATTGTTTTGTGAGATGTTGACTTATCTTCCTGACTGGTCATTTTTGTTTTTCTTTTTGAGACAGAGTCTCACTATGTCGCCCTTGGTAGAGTGCGGTGCCATCACAGTTCACAGCAACCTCAAACTCTTGGGCTTAAGCAATTTTCTTGCCTCAGCCTCCCAAGTAGCTAAGAGGTACCCACCACAACCACAACGCCCAGTTGTTTTTTCGTTGTAGTTGCCATTGTTTAGCAGGCCCAGGCTGGGCTCAAACCTGCCAGCCCCGTGTATGTGGCTGGCACCCTAACCACTGAGCTACGGGCACTGAGCCCTGACCAGTCATTTTAAGAATTTACCCTAGATTTATCCATGTAAGTTGACTCATTCCTTCTGATCAGAGATACTTTCTGATCTCATTCTAGGTTCTGGGGATAGGCTGTAAAATACCCAAAGCTTTCTGTGTGAATTCCCAGCCATGGGAATGGGGTTGATTTTGTCTTTTCTTAAACATTCTCTACCAGGGTTGATTCTGTCTTTTTAAAACATTTTCAGGAAAACAGAACAATTTTGTAAGAGTTTTGAAAATGGGATTGGAAGAGAACTTCACAAGCAGCTAGTTGCTCAAGACAAACAGAATAAACAGACAAGCTACATTTCAGGTAGGTAGGCTGGGCTGTGAGTCCTCAATAATGAAAAGTAAGGCATCTTTTCTCCTGTTTTGGTCTCAGATACTTTCAGTGAGAGCAAATGAAGTAAAGTCTCATCCTCTCTTCTACAGGTAAATATTGAGGCTGAGTGTCTTCCTCCTCTACCTAGTTGTTGAGGAGTCAGTGCTCAAGAACAGTGGCTTACACCTGCGGTCCTGGCACTTTGGGAGGCTAAGGCAGGTGGATTGCCTGAGTTCAGGAGTTTGAGACCAGCCTAAGCAAGAGCAAGACCCTATCTCTACTAAAAATAGAAAAATTGGCCAGGTTGTGGCAGGCACATGTAGTCCCAGCTACTAGGGAGGCTGATATGGACACTCTACCCAGGGCAACAAAGTAAAACTCTGTCCAAAAAAAAAAAAAAAAAAAAGAACAATGCTTTACATGTAAACATTATTCACTCCAGTGGAAGATGATTTTCTTTATGGAGCTTATTCATGCTTGCTAATCCAAGCAGGAATTGCCTTGAAGATATACTCTCTGATAAAATACTGTTTCTGCAGTTTTTGCAGGCAAACCCCACAGAAATGGAGAGGGCTAGTGTGAGCAATCCACATGCACCGATAATTGACCACTTCCTAAAACAAGGAATACACAGATAGACACTGTACACAGAAGGATGGCAAAGACCTCCCTTCTTATGAAGGAGACAGTCAAGTAGGAATATTGTCCCTGAAAGGAGACAAAGCAAGAGAAAGCCAAGGAGATGGGGTGGGAATTAGTTTGGTACAGCATGAATGCAAGTGAGGTGTACTGTGTTTTATTCCTTTGTGAACCGAGAAAGAAAACAGACTGAGAAAGAAGTAATTAATAAATATTAGGGAAATGTGAGTCAAATCCACAAGGATATGCCACTTCCTACCCACCAGAATGGCTCCAAACAATCAGACATACAATGACAAGTGTTGCTGAGAACATGGAAAAATTGGAGCCCCACATACAGCTGGTGGGAATGGTGTAGCCACTTGGAAAAGCAGCCTGGCAGCTCCTCAGAGGTGAAACAGACTTACCACCTAGTCTAGCAATTCTGCTCCTAATTATATACCTAAGAGAACTGAGAACATATGTGCACACAAAAACTTTGTCTAGGTGACACAACAAGACCCCATCTCTAAAAAATAGTTCAGGGAATTCTACCCTCTGGAAGTTGATGTCATATCTTCTGCCTAAGCTTGAATTTTTTTTCTTCCTCAAATTTTAGTTTTAGGAACTGCATTTACTTTTTATTTTGCTGGGTTTTTGTTTTTATTTTTTAGGTCCCTGGTTTGATATGTACTTAACTGCTCGAGACTCTGTTGTTCTGAACTTTAATCCATTTATGTCATTCAATCCTGACCCCAAACCTGAATATAACGACCAGCTTACCAGGGCGACCAACATGATCGTTTCTGCCATCCGTTTTCTGAAGACCCTCCGGGATGGGCTTCTGGAACCAGAAGTATTCCACTTGAACCCTGCCAAAAGTAACACTGACACCTTCAAGAGACTCATACGCTTTGTACCTTCCTCTCTGTCCTGGTATGGTGCCTACTTGGTCAATGCATATCCCCTGGACATGTCCCAGTATTTTCGGCTTTTCAATTCAACGCGTTTACCCAAACCCACTCGGGATGAACTCTTTACTGATGACAAGGCCAAACACCTCCTGGTCCTACGAAGAGGACATTTTTATGTTTTTGATATCCTGGATCAAGATGGGAACATTGTGAGCGCCTCAGAAATCCAGGCGCATCTGAAGCACATTCTCTCAGATGTCAGTCCTGCGCCCGAGTTTCCTCTGGCGTACCTGACCAGTGAGAACCGGGACGTGTGGGCAGAGCTCAGGCAGGAGCTGATCAGTAGCGGCAATGAGGAGACCCTGAGGAAAGTAGACTCTGCTGTGTTCTGCCTCTGCCTAGATGACTTCCCCATTAAGGACCTTATCCACTTGTCCCACAACATGCTGCATGGAGATGGCACAAACCGCTGGTTTGATAAATCCTTTAACCTCATCATAGCCAAGGATGGCACTGCCGCCATCCACTTCGAGCATGCTTGGGGTGATGGTGTCGCAGTGCTCAGGTTCTTTAATGAAGTGTTTAATGACAGCACTCAGGCCCCTGCTGTCACTCCACAGAGCAGGCCGGCTACCACTGGCTCTTCTGCTGCTGTGCAGAAACTCAGCTTCAAGCTGAATGATGCCTTGAAGACCGGCATCACTGCTGCTAAGGAAAAGTTTGATGCCACCATGAAAACCCTCACCATTGACTGCATCCAGTTTCAGAGAGGAGGCAAAGAATTCTTGAAGAAGCAGAAGCTAAGTCCTGATGCAGTGGCCCAGCTGGCCTTCCAGATGGCCTTCTTGCGTCAGTACGGGCAGACGGTGGCCACCTATGAGTCCTGCAGCACTGCAGCATTCAAGCACGGCCGCACTGAGACCATCCGTCCAGCCTCCATCTTCACAAAGAGGTGCTCGGAGGCCTTTGTCAGGGAGCCCTCCAAGCATGGTGCTGGAGAGCTTCAGCAGATGATGGCGGAGTGCTCCAAATACCACGGCCAGCTGACCAAAGAAGCTGCAATGGGTGAGGCAGGGATGGGAACATGCCCTTGGGGCTTTTTGCCCCAGTGCTTGAGTGAGCCTCAGTCATATTCTGCCCCAAATATGATTCTTACCCTTTCACTAGGATTAATCCATCTGCCAGTACCCAAAATGGCTTTTTTTCTACACTAGCAATCTGAACAGCCAAACAGTCACACTAGCCACTAGGGATCTTCTAAGCAGCGACGGGGAAACTCATCTTACTATCTTCATTTAAGATATTTTTTCAGCTATGACACATGATTATTTTTCTATTACTAATTGGTCATCAGATTCACTTTTGACAATTTAGGATTTCTGAGTTCACAGCATTCCTAAACTCACCTCAATTGTAATGTGTCAGCTCCCTGCAAATAGGTCATCTCAGAAGCTCTTCCCTAACTTAAGTGTCACTGTTCAGTTCTTTGTGCAAAAACTCAAGACTTGGAAAGGACATGTCGGATCACATAGTCCAGTCCTTTCCTGCAGCTATAAAGTCTGGGAACTGAAAGGAACCTCCAAGATGTCTAGTTGTCTCTCTCCTCCATGGTACAGGGAGGAGGGTGAGGCTGCTGGCCCAATGTTACTAGAAGGTTACTGGTGAGGCTGAGATTAGAACCCTGGTCAACACCCTTTCCATTGTCTTCCACTGACTCAATCTTCTCCTTTACACTTGAATTGGACTTTGAGTTTTATCCTAGTTTAAAAGTCCATACCTCTCTTCACTTATTGTCTTTACTATTTGACTAAACCAGTTCAGAATTTTCAAAAGCATACATTCATTTTAGGCTTACTTTTAGCTCAGCCGTTGACCACTATTTTGAAATATTATATAACTTAACATAATGTGTTTAGTAACATTCTAGAATGAGCTGCAGGGTTAATGAGGTGGGATATGAATGCAGAGGTAGACAGACCCTTCTTCCACTCTTAAGGATGCTACAGTGAGTGGGAGGTTTTCCTAAGGTCCTTTTGGTTCTGAGATTCTGAAATGCTGTTTTCCATTTTATCTCTGACAGGCCAGGGCTTTGACCGACACCTGTTTGCTCTGCGGTACCTGGCAGCAGCCAAAGGGATTGCTCTGCCCGAGTTTTACCTGGACCCAGCATACAGACAGATAAACCACAACATCCTGTCCACAAGCACACTGAGCAGCCCGGCTGTAAAACTCGGTGGCTTTGCCCCCGTGGTCTCTGATGGCTTTGGCATTGGGTATGCTGTTCATGACAACTGGATAGGCTGCAATGTCTCTTCCTACCCAGGCCGCAATGCCCGGGAGTTTCTCGAGTGTGTGGAGAAGGCCTTAGAAGACATGTTTGATGCCTTAGAAGGCAAACCTATCAAAACTTAGCTTCTGGGTGGATGAAAAGCCACCATCACTTCCTCATCATGAATAGTGAAGCCTGTGTGGCCAATAAGTGCTATTCTGTGACTAATGAAACTAATCATGGAGGTGCCTGAGCAACCTGTGCTACAGGCCTGAGCTTTAAAATCATGGTTTTAAAGGTAAACATGTGGGACTAGATAACAACTGAAGATAATGAGAGATTTTGCTTTTAAGGGCATTTGATTAGGAGGTAAAGATTGGAAAAATAACTCAGGTGTATTTATTGTTTAAGCAAAAATAAAATTTAATTTTTCTTGAAGATGATGTCTTTTAAATTTTTTAATCTAATTTCCAAGTCCTCACAAAGAGATTTCCAACAATAAGTTCGGTAAGTTCCCATTGGCTTCTGGCTTAAGTGATGGTGGGATTGCTTTTTCAGCCTCTCTGTAAATTTGCCCATCTCTTCTGGGACATCATCTACTTAAAAAACAGTAGAGGGCCAGCTGAGTGGCTCCCACCTGTAATCGTAGCATTCAGGGAGGCCAAGGCAGGCAGATCACCTGACCTCATGAATTGGAGACCAGCAGGAGCTAGAGTGAGACCCTGCCCCTAAAAATAGCCTGGCATTGTGGCAGGCACCTATAGTCCCAGCTACTAGGGAGGCTGAGGCAAGAGAATTGCTTGAGCCCTGGAGTCTGAGGTTGCCATGAGCTATGATGCCACAGCACTCTACCAAGGATGACAAAGTGAGACTCTGTCTGAATAAATAAGTAAATATAAAAAACAGTAGAACCAGGTGGTGCCTGTGGCTCAATGGAGCAGGGCGCTGGCCCCATATGCTGGAGGTGGCAGGTTCAAACCCAGCCCCAGCCAAAAACTGCAAAAAAAACCAACAAACAACCCAGAATCTCCATAGTTGACCACTTTCTGTACACTGACCGCCTCCTTAATTTGACCTAATTTTCACAGACTGGTCGTGCACCTCATGTACATATCAGTACAGTAGGCCTAGTTCCTTATGTTGACCACCTCTGCGTGTTGACCAGTTTGTTACAGTCCTTGGGGGTGGTCAACTTAGAGAGGTTTTGCTGTACTCTTCATTTTTTTGAGGAGTAAACTATTGCTTGATTCTAACAGTCCTGGTGTAATGAAGCCTCTTCTGTATTCCTCTGGTCAAAAGATTATACACATTATAATTGGAGTGTATTTTAACTAGCTAATGCTAATGATGGTCTCAGATAGATCTAAGACATCATTCTATAATTTGCAATTGTGGAGACTTCTTCATTAAGTGAAGTGACAGAATTTTTTTTCCTTCTGGCTCAGTGCCTGGGCCTGCTAAACAATAATGACAACTACAACAAAAAATAGCTGGGTGTTGTGGCAGTTATCTGTAGTCCCAGCTACTCGGGAGGCTGAGGCAAAGAATCGCTTAAGCCCAAGAGTTTGAAGTTGCTGTGAGCTGTGATTTCAGACTCTACAGAGGGTGACGTAGTGAGACTCTGTCTCAAAAAAAAAAAAATTTTTTTTCCCTTCCAAATTATGGTTAGAACACTGCTGTAACATGAAAGGAAGGGGGTTTGTTTGTGTTTTATTTATTTATTTATTTATTTATTGACAGAGTCTCACTATGTCGCCCTTGGTAGAGTGCCATGGTGTCATAGCTCACAGCAACCTCCAGGTCTTGGGCTTAGGCGATTCTCTTGCCTCAGCCTCCCAAGTAGCTGGGACTGTAGGCGCCCGCCACAACACCCAGCTATTTTTGTTAGTGTTGTTGCAGTTTGGCCCGGGCTGGGTTCAAACCCTCCACCCTCAGTTTATGGGGCCTGAGCCCTACCCACTGAGCCACAGACACTGCCCTTGTGTTTAATTTTACTCCATTCCTAGTGGCTTCCCAGTGCATTAGTGGCACCACTGGGATTTGGATTCTGGTATGAAACAGTCGCAAAGCTTTGCCTCATTTAATCCTCCTTACAACTCATAGAAAGCATTACCCCATTCAGTCCTTACAATTCATAAAAACATACCTGCCTGTCTCAGTTGACAGCACCCATCCTCAGTGGTAGTGAACATCTACCAGGTCCTTTTTGTGCCGGTTTGGTCAGAGAGGGACACCTGGTGGCCGCCAATGTGCATAAACATACTGCCACTCTCATTGACGGACCATAGTCAGGAAGGCCTGATGGTATCCTGATTCCATCTCGTCCCTACTTTCTGACCATAGGCAAGTTACTTTGCCTCTCTAGCCACGAATTCCTCTTAGTAAAATGAGGATAGTTCCCACAGCATGGGGAGGTTATGATGATCAAAGCACCAGGCACATAGTTGAAGCTTAATCCGTCCGTGTCCCCTCACTGCTCTGTGAGATCTGTGGCCCTTCCAGTTCTTACTGAGGTGCAGACCTCTTTGGAGGGCAAGTTCTCCATAGCATTAGCTCTTAGAACCAACTGAATCGTACAGGGCTGACAAACTGTACTTGGTGCTCATGTCCATGGTGAGCACAAACACAGCTTGAGTGCATGGAGCTTCTTCAGGGGGCCTCTCCTCCTGGCCTGTCCCAGTGCTCAGCGTTCCTACTGACAGCTCCCCTTCACGTTTTGGATTCGTGTTCAAATCCAAGGAAGCATTCAAGGTGGTAGCTAGGGTAGCAAAGACACTTAACTATTGATCTGAGCCCAGTTCGGGGTCACACGCAAGTCTTACCCATTTGTACAGAACTGAACCATTTGTAAGCTCTTCTCTATGCAACTGATTTGATCTCAACTCTGGAATGGGCCAAAGATACCCTCATTTTAACTACAGAAGGTGGACAGGCTGAGGTGGGGGTCCTGCTCTTTGTGTTATGCTGCTATTTATCCAGCCTTCTGGTAATTCGATCTTAAACTTGCTGGCTTCCCAGTTCAGGACAGTGAGTGTTACTAAATTAATCCCTGCTGTTCTGACCCTAATGTGACTGTTATGTGGGGTTGCCCACGTGAGGAGCAGATCTTTGGAAGTCGGCAAGCTTTATCAGGCCACTTTATACCGGACCCACAGCCACACCAGCGTTCCTGGACATCATCTGCATCTCTTTGAGGTGCTCCTAGGACCCCCCAAACTGAGGTTTGTAGATACCATGTAGCTTATCCTTTTTAAAAAGCAGCTTTGTTTAGATAAACTTCACATACTGTGCATTGCAGTTATTTAAAAGTGCATCATTCGGTTATTTTGGGCATATTCATAGAATTGTGTGACCATTACCACAATCGATTTTAGAACATTGTTGTTCCAAAAAGAAACCCTGCACCTGTTAGCAATCACTTTTTCCATAACCCCCTAAATCTCCCAAGCCCTAGACAGTCGCTAATCTACTTTTTGTCTCTATAGATGTTCCTGTCCTGAACATTTCATATAAACAGAATCACGTACTATGTGGCCTCTTGTGATTTGTCCCTGTCACTTAGCATCACGGTTTTATGGTCTACCCATGTCCTCACATGTATGGGGACTCCGTTTCTTCTTATTACTGAGTAATATTCCATTGCATGAGTACAACACATTACATCTGTCCACTCAGTGGCTGATGGACATTTGGGTTGTTTCCACCTTTTGGCTATTAGGAATCATGCTGCTGTGAGTGTTCATGCACAAGTTTTTGCAGACATCTTTGCATTCTCTTGAGTGGACTTGCTGAACTACACAGTAACTTTATTTACTTTTTTTTACCTTTTTTTTTTGGGGTTATTTTTAATTATAGCCATTCTGATGGGTATAGTGTCTCTAATGATTTTTATTAGTTTATGCTTTAAGTTAGACCATCCTAACTAACACTTTCCACATCTAGTGATATTCAGTATCTTCACACAAGCAATGAAGAAGAATGAGAGAATTTGAAGAAGAGCCATGGGACAGGGTAGGCTGGTGAAAGGAGGGAGTTTGGGCGGGTGTCTAGCAGGAGCCACAGCTGGGGCTTACTGCCAAAAGAGATGAAGGGAGCCCAGAGATGACCAGCCTCCAGCAGAGAGGAGGGCAGTGTTTCAGCAGAATTGGTTACAGATGTAGTTCCTTTCTGGGAATTTCTTTCATTAAAGATTTAACTAAATCTGTGCTAGGATTATAGCCATATAAAAACACATCTGTGGGCAGTGCCTGTGGCTCAGTGAGTAGGCCACCAGCCCCATACACCAAGGGTGGCAGGTTCGAACCTGGCCCCGGCCAAACTGCAACCAAAAAATTGCCAGGCATTGTGGTGGGTGCCTGTCATCCCAGCTACTTGGGAGACTGAGGCAAGAGAATCACCTAAGCCCAAGAGGTGGAGGTTGCTGTGAGCTATGACGCTACAGCACTCTACTGAGAGTGACAAAGTGAGACTCTGTCTCTAAAAACAAAAAACAACCCCCCCCCCATCTGTGTGTAGGTAAATCTTGATAGGGAGAAATAGACACATTTGTGACAGGGGGTTAGAATGGTGGGGGTTAAGAAAACTTGTCTTTTTCCTTTTTCTTTTATTGATATCATACCATCTGTGCCATACTCAGTCATTGGGCAAAAAAGGAATTCACACTAGCAGCCTCTCACCGCTCATCACCTTCATGCTTCAGCCACACCAACCCCCCCCCCCCCCCCGCCCTCTCATCCTTCCCCCTATCTACAGCCTTAGACCGCCTCCCGGGGTTTCCTCCCCCTCATGTCTCTGTAACCAGGCCTGGGTTAATGCTAATTTAGGAGTTGAGGAGAGAAAAACAACCCAGCATGATATCAAGACAGAGAAATTAAATTATCTGCTTTGTTGAGAAGAG